AAGATTGTTCTCATCATCGTTATTAATCGTTATCGAAGTGAATAATCATTCGACTTTCCTGATCGGCAAAAAGTCATATTGAAAAGTGTCTAATGTCGGAGTCGCTCAAATGTCGGTTGACGCAAATTCCACCGGAATGTTTTGGAACGGATTTTACAGCTTATTGCGAAATGGAAGTTATTGAAAATAATTTAAGAGAAATAAATGTGATACTAAAGCATGAAGGTCATTCCTTGATTATATTCGGGCATTTCATCGTTTAGAAGGTTTACAAGAATTTTTGAAGTCATGTGATAATTTCGACAATTCAAGGTGATCAAGAAAAATGTAAAGTATTGGTACATTCACGTGCTGGTTGGTAAGATATATTTTTTCCATTGACAAAAAGATTAATAAATTTTCCTTTCTCTCAATTCAGTTGGTTTAATGTGTTAAAAATTTACATGGTTTACTACCAAAATGTTTATTACCACTGAAAGGTGACGATCGACAACTTTTAAAAGTGAACTATTGTCCATCCAAAAAATGAATGATATATGAATATTTTTTGATAAAAAAGAGCTTGAGAACTCTGGTTTTCACCATTCGAAAGAAAAGAGTTGATGACAAGTTTTCATAACCAAACGTTTTTCTGAAACAGGTTTTCGAGGAGATGTTCGTAAAACCAGGCCATGTGTAAAAAAAAGAAGAAAGATCTGCTACAAATAACACCTTAAAAGGTTTTGAATTTGAAACAGATAATTTTATGAAGCTTTTAACACCGCTAGGTGTGAGATATAATTTTATGAAGCTTTTAACACCGCTAGGTGTGAGATATAATTTTATGAAAACTTCTCACTAATTGATCTGTTCTATCATGTCTTCAATACTGAAAATCAACGTGAAAGCCACTTTTTTCCATAGAGTACTCTGAGGTAAAAAGAATATAGTTTTCGAAATCTTGGTCATATTTTTTGTGAGTCTTCATCTGTTTTTGGTCGGAAAAACTAGCTGATGAACATGATGATAGATCGAACAATTCTCTACATATTGATGCAAAAATCTCACAAAAATTTCCGATAGTTTTCAAGCTAGATTCAAAATATGGGGAGCCCATTTGAATGCCTCGTTTATCATCTTTATCCCTCAATGAGGTAAACATGTACAACTATTTATTCACTGATAAACCGTCTGCATTCAAATGTTCGACATTCACATTGCTGATATTGATTGGTAGTATATACTGAGCTTCGATATCACCAATGTGAATGTCGAGGTTTTGAATGCAGATGGTTTATCAGTGGGTAAATAGTGACGATTAGGCATGAGCGCTAACGGTCGGTACACGGACAAAAGAAGAAAAAGAATACGCGATTTAAATTAGATCCAAAGAAACTTCAAAATCAATCATTGACAAAACAGTTTGCACATGAGGTACAGTAAAAACGAATGACTCAGTATTCAAGTGACATATCCATAGATGAACAATTTATTTTGAAAATATATATAAATTAAATTTTAATGAGCATTAAACAACAGATCAAGGCTAACGAAACGGAAATGGATTTTGCAAAGCACTCTTTTAGTTTTATTTAAAGCAGCCGTACACTTTAGATACTTTTTTAAATGCCCCTTAGTAAAGGAACTACTAAAAACGCAGTTTGATTTTAAATGAACAGAAGAAAATTTTAACAGACATATAAAGTGGGAAAAAAAAAGTCAGGTGAGGAAAGGTTTCTGCATGAAAATATGAGAGAAGAGTAGAAAGACAAAACTACACATCTCAGCTAAAAATAAAATAACCGAATTGTTGAAGAACTCTCATATTTTCATACACAAACCTTTATAACTGCAGATAAAGTTCTGGCGTCGAAATATCTCCCCAGGTGATTGAATCGTACTATCTGATCATACAAGATCGTATACGAATCGTACGAAATCATATACGATTATGTACGATCTACATACGAATCATGGTACCTGATTTGTCGTCTGGCTCGTACTGTACGATTTCATACGAAGTTGTATGATCGTATATGATCTTGTACGATCGTATTATACGATCAAGAAGACAAATCAGATACCACGATTCATATATGATTTTCATACGATTTGGTACGATTTTGTCTGATTCAGATACGATCTTAGTACGATTCTTCGACCTGGGTCTTTATCCTAAATTTCAATCAATATGACTTAACAGTAATATTATAAATCAGGTTTTTCGTACAAAGCATATTTACTCATTGAAAGGCGGTGGTAGCACTCCCATTTAAGCATTTAAGTTATCATTCATGTTTCAAAAGAGGTCGCTGTCAAACAGAAAATGATTATTAGTTTTTGTCTAAATCGTATTGGTCGATATTAGCTAATATATGTAGACTCCATATTGTACACGACGCAACGTCCTATTTTAGATTCTTAATTATTAACATGTCTGTTGTGAAATTTTATCTCTGCTGATTACTAATAATAGTTCATTTCCTTCTTTTTGTGTCACAGATGTAAATTTTTTTTATTGAAACATCATACACGACTTCTAGTGATTTAAACAGGAGTTTGCGTTTGGGTTATTTATTTTGTTTTAGCTTCTCTAAACTCCACTGAGAGACAATTTTCAGGAAATTTTTTAAAAGAATAATACTGTACGTATGATTGGAAAGTTATGACGCTTTCTTGTGTTTAAAAACGACATGCGCTAATAGCTTGTTACAGCGTGTATAATATTTTTTTAAATAATATTCCCACATGACTGTTTTTTTTCACTTGATATCTCTGTTAAAATTTTCTTTTCAAACTCAAACTACGTTTTTAGCAGTTTCTTTACTAAGGGGCATTTAAAAAAGTATCTAAGGTGTACGGCTGCTTTAAATAAAACTAAAAGAGTGCTTTGCAAAATCCATTTCCGTTTCGTTAGCCTTGATCTATTGTTTAATGCTCATTAAAATTTAATTTATATATATTTTCAATTTCTAGATAAACAGAAAGAATGATGGATACCTCTTCATCTACAATACAAATTCTAGAATCGCCAATCGACACATCACGAGAAACTGTATTTGATTCTGAATTGAAAATTAATCCCAACAATTCGCGATATTATTTATTTGAAGCAATAGACAAGACATATACTTGTTCAATTGATGCTCTTGATACTTATCATCGTGTGTCTGATGCTATGTTAGAGCGTGATCCAGAACTACACGATCTTTGGATTGATTCATATTTTTATTCGTATGCATTCATTGAAGTATTTGAGAACGAAATGAATTATTATTATCATTCATTTCTAAGAAATAACGTCAAATCATTGAATATGTTTCGTCGAATTGAAGGTTGGAATTATATTCTCAATAGTTATATGAAATATTTTGAATATATCCACGATGACAATAGTTATAGGATTTATTCATTAATAAATTTATATTTTTCAGCTTTAACAACAATCTTTTTGCATAATCGTTATGGTTTAAGAATAATCGAGACTCCAAAACTAGATGTCAATAATAATGATAACAAATTAGAGGAATCATCAGTACAAATGAATAAGAAAAAGTCATTGTCACGATTTAAAACGAATGTGGCTCTCAAAAATTATATTGAAAAAAATATTCCAAATTTTAATCAAGTACTCAAAGAAGCCATTCAGACTGGTAATAATTTAGTAAAATTAATGAATTTTAATAAAATGCCAACATATTTGGAAATGCTTAATGTACAATTTAATGCTTGGTGTGATTGGTTGAAACGAGATTCAATTTTAAAACGAAAACGATCAGATAACGAACAAGATGAAAATTATGACAATAAGAGACAAAGAGCAAATGGGGATGATTTAATATCATTACAAATTCCAAAACAATCTGTACTTGTATCAACAAATGAAATTGTTTTAACTGATAATAATCGAACACCAATAAATTCATTACAAAATATTATTAAATTGGATAAAAATTATAAAGGAATTTTTTCTGCTTGTTTCGAATATTATGTTGAAAATTTTTATCCAACACAATTGACAACAAACATGAATATTGGTGGTGAACGATTTGTATTGAACAAATGGTCAAAAGAAAAATTACATTATTTTTTACCATATGAATATCAAAATCGTTTAAATGATCACACATTCGAAAAAGAAATTCAAGATCTATATCATCAACAAACCAGTGTTCTATTTAAATCTAAAAACTGTTAAATTTTTTTATAATCTTTTCGTACAAATTCGTGCCATAACTATTGTTTTCCTTCGTCTGTTTGTAAATAAATTGTTATTAACTTGAACTGTAATTGTTGTTCAGAAAACTGTCAGTTATTCGAAAGAATGTAAGACTTTTGAACAGTAGACTACTGTCATATATAATTCACCATTTAAAATGAGAAAACAGTGGTCTTTTCTTTAATGACGACAATAATGCGTATAAAAATAGCTTGCCGTTTTTTTTCTGTTGCAAGACGTGATCTTACATTTTTCTTTGTCAGATACGCATTTTTTTCAATTTTCTTTTTTGTCTGATAAATTTTGTTGGTGTTGTTTATCTCTCGTCATCTATTTCTATTCAACTTTGTTAAAAACATTTTTTTTTACTCAATAAAGAATAACTTGATTGTACATTTATTTTTTTTACGAAACTTTGTTAAGATTATATTCTTTGTATAGATTAATCGTGAGATAGATATATTTATTTTTGTTATCTTTTGCTATGCAACACGTATTTCGTTGAGAATTTTTTTATATATTAAACTTGAAGATGAAAATAAATTTTTCGCTATTTATCTTTATCAAATTTATATTTTAACCGATTAGAAATGAGAAAGTCGCTAATTTAGTTCAGATTCTGCTTGAGAAGAAAAAGAATATGACCACGTATTGCTGAAATTCGTTGTAATTGAATGAAAAATGTTAACTTTGTTGAATAAACATAAAAACAATGATTTTTAGCACAGATACAATCGTATAAGAACGATATAAAAATCTTATAATAAATAGACGGTCTTTTCTTATGTGAACAACTCATTAATAACATCGTGTTGTTACTCTTCTAATGTTTGTGTCGATGCTGAAGAGGGACTATAAACAAACTGACACCAATCATCGTTGCAAATAAACATATTAAAAATGTTGGATGTTCTTCAATATATATCTGAGCAATTTTTTTTATTTTTGTTACTTTTGATCGTTGTGCTTTGATTTCTAAAATACGTCCACTTTTTGAATGTTGAAACAAATTACTAATATCAGTATTCAATCGTCCAAGTAAATGTAAAATATCTAATATAATAACTATTATTATAATGAGTTGACCTTTTGCAGGAACAATGGTTAAACGGGCGAATTGTGATACAAATGATGCCACCAATCCCAATATTATCCCACTTGGTACTTGTAAACTAACTATTTTTGAATCGAAATTAAGTTTCATCATTATTGATAGTTATTCTTTAATGGCAAAATTCAGTAAAAGAGTATAATAAATAAACAACAATTTCTAATATTTAGAAATGAGATGAAAAAGGACAGTCGATATTGAAAATAAATGTATGCCTATTTTTTTTAATGTGTATCCAAGGCGATCGATCGCGCGTTATATATTTTATTAACGCTCTGAAATGACTCGATTATCACTCATTCCAGTATATTTGAATTCTTGAATTTTTATATTTCAGATATTTTGTTCTCTATGAATTACTCTTGTCAAATTCGCATACCCTTTTTGACTGCTCGTCATGCTCAAATAGCATATAATAGTTTAAAAGTTGATCGTGAACCAAAAAAAGATGTGAAACGTATGGAAAATATCCATGAAAATAATATTCTTGTTGTTGATTTTGAATCTAATGAAGCACGTTATATTCGTGTTGCTGTTGAAAGTTACATTGACAAAATCAATCTTATTCTGCGTACAATACAACGTTTTGATCATTAGTGAAACAAATGTATAGTTTTCATTCTTAGATTTATTGTTATTTTCAATAAAGTGCTTTTTCTGATACTTTCATTTGAAAACCTTATGGAAGAGACGATGATCTTGTTAAGTTGTATCCAGGGTTTCGAGTTGTTCTCAGGGATGGGAGGGGCTAAAAGTTTTGCTTCGCAGAAAGTAGCTGACGAAAAAAAGTTTTCGAAATTTCTGGCAGAAAGTTGCTGGTGGAAAACCGTCGAAAATTTTGCGAAAAAGTCAAAAAAAAAATTTCGGGAGGGGGTCCATCATCCTCTGCTCCTCTCCCTGATCGGGGACCCTGCTTGTATTTAGAAGTACAGTAATTGGTTCGAGCTAGTGGTTTAAGCTCGGTGCAGTTTTCCTTTCAATTGGCAATGGTAGCAGAAGCTGGTCTTGACATCATTGCCTGATTGATTTAACTCCATACAAAAAGTCTAACGAAACCAACTTTTATCATGAGGGAATCCTCCTACATGATGAGCCATTTTTTCCACGAAACACAGTGTTTTGTGAGTTATTTGTTACGCTAGTCATGAATCTAATACTCGTTGATGCTGCTAGGTCTTCCGAGTATCGTATGGTAGGCCCTTCGCAGCTATGTAACCTACTTCAGAAGTTTAAACAGTTTTAGCTTTTTCCAGTGGCGGTGTATTTATCTATACGTTAGTTGATATAGCGTGACTGTGGTACATTTCACGTATTCAGCTGCGGTCGTAACTCTAGAACTTTGTAATAGTTTTACTAATATTGTCTAGATTATTTGACAGAAAGTATATACATTCAAAAGTTAGTGTCTCGTTTATTATGTGTGCTAAACCTTATTCCAATCTCTTTCAATCTGAATCAATACTGTTTGGAGTTCTCGCATCGTCGTCTCCTTGATTTCTGATTAAATCCAAAACGAATCTGACCACCAAACTTAGCATCAGCAGAATCAAGCACGATACGCCCAAAATCATTCCTATCAAAGATAAATCGGGTTTGTCTTCATTATGAATTAATCTGTCGTACAAGAAAGACACATGATTATCTGTCTGCAATGATTTATAACTAGCCATTTTGAAAGAAAAACACTTAATTTTTTGAGCTGACAAATATTTGAAATTAGGCGCCAGTATTATTTTATTTCTTTGTGTTCACTATGGAAAGTGCAGCTCGTAACAATTCAAACCAAGAGGTGGAGCAGATAGTGAATTTCAATTCAAAACAAAATATTACTTGTTTTCTATGTTACTTGGTAAAGAATCCCAGCTACGATATTATCCTCGTCAGTTAATATTGTTAAGAGTTTAAAGTAGAGGTGGGCAAGTCTAAGTTCAGACTTCAAGGCTTGGACGGGCACGCTTCCGTCAACTTGAAGCCCCGTTGACGGGCTTGGACTTGACCATTTTATTTTCAAGTCCGTTTGAAGTCCAAGGAGTTAACGACTTTTACATTCAACAACAGAATGAGTATAATTTGATACCTAATTTACTAATCTGTTTTTTGTCTAACATGCAATGTATGGATAAAATTTATTTACCCATCATATATGATTATGACATACTGTATAGTACAGAAACTGCTATGAAGAACTTGGATTCGAACTTGGACTTAAGTTCCAGCGGGCTTGGACTTGCTAGAAGAAAAAGTCCTTGCAAAGGGTAGCACAACATTTATGCGGGGCCAAATCTGGAAACGTGGGGTTGCCCCCTTATGGAGGACATTTAGCAGTCCCAGAAACGATTATCTTTCAAGTTCCTCTACGTTTATCAAAAAAAGTTAGATACCAGGGCTCCGTATGGTCTGGTCCAGGACCAAGTCGGATCGGGCCGTAATCCATTTGGTCCGACTTGGTTCCAGTTTTTAAAAACTTTAATGGTTCGAACCGGTCCCGGTCCCGAAACTATTGGTCCGAACTGAAAATTTTTTAGAGATCTCTTTATTCTTTTGTGTATCGACTAGATAAGCTTTGCTGAACGTTTAATTAAGAAACAGTTTGTTTTCAGGTTTGATAATAATTGAAACTAAACAGTTTTTCGTTACACAATAGAAATGGATCTTCAAAAAGGACGAAAACATTTTCCATGGTCCGAAGTGAACTGAAAAATTTATGGTCCGGATGGGTCCTGGTCCCAAACGTGTTTTATGAAAAATGGTCCGAAGCGGTCCTGATCCCAAAAAGTTATGGTCTGGTTCCAAACATTGGGATCAGACCGGACCATACGGAGGCCTCTTAGATACACTTGTGTTATTCGTCAGTTTCGCTTAAAACCTAACAAAGATATAACATTGATATAGGAAATGAGTACGTCAGATCTAACAGTATGCATTACATCACACATGTAATCGATAAGAAGATAGAATAGCCCGAACTGTGTCTACCGTTGTCAGCGAAACGACGATGATTTCCTCTGTTGGCTCAGACTAATTTGAAGTATCGGATCAACGTCCAAAAAATGTGAAATGTTTGATTAAAATTTATGATAATCAATGAATACATTTTCCATCAGAACTGGAATCTAGTTGGTAGTATGATGATACAAGTAGTAATAGTTTCATACAACAAAAAGATACCTATACGATGTACTAAAAACCTTTTTTTCTCTTCAAAACGTCATAGTTTACATACACATTAACTGCAGAAGATATGGTAGCCTTAGGTACCATGATCCTTAGCCCCTCAAACTCATCTCCCGATATATGCTACATTAATGCCTACTAATTTTCAATAAATTTACACAGCTATACAACCTTTAAACTGTGGGAAAGTAATCAAAGTTGATAGAGACATATTTCCTGACGTTTCTCCGTTAAAAGAAGATTGCTTAGTTCTGAGTTTTGTTTGACAACGACCTCAAAAGTGACTGTTGATCTTAACATCACTGTATTTCCGTCACCAGTTAGGAGCCAACACTTTGAATTCATTCTGTAGATAGAAGAAAACCATAAGAACATAAAGTGTACATTTCTCTTGCTTGAGTTCAATTCTAAGGGTCTCTACAGAAGTCTCACTACTTTTGGAATATTTGTTCGACTACGGGGAGTCGGACTCCCCATTGTCCTAGGACTCCCGGAGTCCTACGACAATGAAAGAGCCTACTTATGATCGGTTTACGGCCGTAATGATATCGTAAATGGCGGTATTCGGTCGTTGGTCGTTGTATTGCAGACGTAATACGTTGTCGTATGCGACGGCCATAAAGAAAACGTTTATGATAGTTTACAACAGTGTACGGCCGTTGTATACGATAACATATTACGGCTGCATGGAATACGACCGTAGTTGGTCGGAAGTCATCGTTTACGATCGTATGAAATCGATCTGGGGCGATCTAAAATTTGCGGGAATCTGACTGTCTCAATTCTCTGTTTGTCTACCATTGGATTTCGAATATAATTTCTCTACCACTCGAATGTAGAGATACAAAACAGTAGACGCACGGTGGGTGTATAACCGGAAGTTGTCCTTGTCACTATTGTTTTTAAAAGTTAATAATACATATTTACAAAAAAATACATTAAATGATTTTGAGACAACAAATAATCCGTAGTTAAGGTTGAATGTGATTTGTTTTTTTCTCTTGATCAGAGGATTATTAAACAAACCACTCTATTTATGTAATAACAATTTTTAACACTTTCTTGAACCGATTAGTGTAGGGTCAAGTTAGTTTTAATATAAAACTGACTGATCATATTGATTAAGGTTTATTTTTTAAAAAAAGATAAAAAAAGTACTAAATCATCATTTATCGTAATAATGTTGAAGCTTGTAATTTTACTTGGTTTTATCCGAATGATTACTATGGATAGTAGTCTTATTCCACCTACATCACTCATAAGTAGTTATTACAACAGCGCCAATATTGTTCCATCTCAGAATTCACAACTGGTCGATGAATTTGGACAATGTGGTGGATTACAGTACGAGGTATACCTTATTGTTTTGCCTCTTAAATAGCGTCGTTCAAATTGTTCGGCTAGCACAAGAAACGATGCTATAGTTTTCAAAGTACAGTGCCGATTACTGTCTTTAGAACGCGATACTTTAACGCAACTGTTCATAAGAAAATAAGTTGGAATCAACTAAAGTTTCCTAGGAGTTCCACGAATGACATAAGATGACCTGTGAAGATGGCTGGAATATGAGTTGTCAACCATACAATGCTTGTTTTCATCAAACATTTCAAAAACCTAGCGAAAATCTCCTTTAAGTGATTATCTAATTTGGATATCTGCATGTAAAAGTACAAAATCCATAACTCACTCGAAATCGGTTCAAAAACACTTCAAAACTTCAGTATATACTCAATTCCAGCTATTTTACGTAATTGTATGATCAAAGTGCAAAAGAACCTGTTTGCACTCCTGAAGTTTCCCAGAAAATCGTTTTGCATCCAGGACGTTATCCATTGAGCTTACCGTACTTTTACGTATGATATGCAGAAGTACGGCTTCACATGTTGATACTATTAATAGGTGCATCATCTAGAATTGAGTATATACTGAAGTTCGGAAGTGTTTTCGAACCGATTTCGAGTGAGTTATGAATTTTGTACTTTTACATGCAGATAACCCAAACTAGATAATGTCACATAAAGGAGATTTTCGCTAGGTTTTTGAAATATTTGATGAAAACAAGCATTGCATGGTGGAAACCTACGTTCCAGATGTTTTTCAGCTCCTCATTGGTCATATCGCACTAGTTGGGGACCTCTCAGAAAATTCGCATGTAATAAAGCAAATGTGTTGCTGTTAAAAGTATTTTGAAAATAGAAGTAGATGGTTTATCATGAAAATTATTTACTATCATTTTTGATGATCTGTAAAGATGTCTACGTAGGACTACATTAATTTTCATGTTTTTAGGGACCTAGAACATGCAAACAGGGTCTAGTATGTTTCAAACGAAGTAAATATTATTCACAGTGTATCGGAAAAGAAGTAGCTGCTATTGCGGCCATTCCTATTCAATACATCGCATTAGGTGGACGTTGTGGAGCAGGAAAAGACGCACGAAGTCCATTTTTATGTGCAGTTGGAACGTATTGCTTCATTCAAAATGAAAATTATGGTGAATGTCGAACAAGTTGTCCATTAAACTGGTTTTGTCAAAAACAAACATTACCTGAATGGGCACCTTGCGGAGGGGAAACCTACATTGGTCTCACGAAATGTAAGGAAGGTTTACAATGTTATTCTCATTCAAAATGGTATTCTGAATGTCGTTCTGAATGTCCAGAAGGATGGAAATGTTAAAAAGAAGATAATTATCCGGCATATATTCAAGTTTTTAAACGCTAACATGAATCTGCTTTGTTTTGCTTATATTCTTGTATGCAGAATGTCAATCTTTGTTACTGGTTTTAATATTATTTGATAAATAGCAAAAGAATCTTGATTAAATTTTCCAAAAAAAAAATTAATGATGCTAAAATAATTAATTAATTGAGTTAAAAGGTTAATAGAAAAATAAATATCTTTCCAACGATGAATAGATTTATTTACAATATGTTTGTGGATTAGTCGAAATAATTGGTGTCGTGGTTTAACACAAAAATAAGACATCAGTATATTATTAGTAAATATTTATCTTAAATCTTCCTTCATTACCGTTTATATAAAAATCTTCAATTGACATCTAGTTTAGTTTATATCACGTAATATCGACCTTCTTCATCCATTCACATCCATTAATTTCTTTACATGATTTTGATATTATTTTTGAAGATTAAGCATCATAGATCAAACACTTAATTAGTATTTAATTATTTACTTAATCAAATCTATTTGATGTAAATCTTAAATGAAAATTATAATGATAATATTGAATCGTTACCGTGTTGTATCAAAAACATATTAATAACATTCCTTCATCAGTATAATCAATTATTCAAAATCTTGAAAATAATCATTAGTTTCCATCGTGTCTCCTTGATTTGTATCACCCATTGGATAATTATCCGGTTTACTTCTATAAGCTTCGGAACGACCAAATAAAGCATAAGACATAAATATCCATCCGCTAATACTCAGCAATGAAAGAATAATTATTGTTATAATAATACTTGTTTGAATTGCGGAATGTTCACGTATATCTTCAATAATAAATTCAGTTGATTCATTGTATTTATCTCCATTATTGGTATAAACTGTTGATCTATTCAGATTAATAATCATTTGACGTTTCAATACAACCATAAAATCATACTAATCTTCGAAATATCAAACAAGAAAAGAAAAAAAAAATATATGAATAAGTTAGTAGAAAATATTAAATCTTTTTCTCAAAATTTTGTCTTGTTGATAGAACATACATATTTTGAGTAAAAACATGTATGAGATCTCCTTTTTTTAGCTTTTATTAAAAAGTACAATAGAAACTAATCAGCTGGAAGTGATAGTTGAATGATTGAATGAATACTACTTCCTTACATAAATCTTATTGACGATAGATTTTTTTTTTCCATTTAATGATAGATGAATATGTGGTGTACATATATTCCTTGAACGATGATTGATGACTACAGTTATACATGCAGTGTAGAAATAAAATAAAAAAAAGAAGAAGCTATTGTTTGACATTTTTGTACCATTGCTATATAGTCGACCTATTGCGATTAATTAATTATCAACAACTTATGTATGTAATGTGTGTATATAAAGAAGAAAAAAGAAAACTAGAGAAAATTACAAAACCCCGAGAGATAAAACAACAACAAAAGAAGGAGAAAATAAAATAGATTATTCGCACTAGTTGTGATATAGATAGATGTGGCAATGTATTTAATTTTTGGAACAAGAAGAAGAAAATAACCTGTTAACAATTCGTTCTAATTTTCAGTTAATACTATAAGGATAAATTAGATATGCTAAAAACTAAATAGAAAACATTTTTATTTTCGTATTTTAGATTTGAACGGGATCCGTCTAACTATTTGTCCTAAAACAATACACGAACAAATAATGTTTGTGTATTTATTATATTTACAGCAGCTACCACGTTTTTCCTATCATTAAGTGTTATTAAAATATCTTCAGCTGTTTGCTAAGGTTTTCTCACGGTTTTATTAGTTAGTAGTGTATAATGTCTTTGTGCCAATGTTTTCTCTTTCAAATATGCAACAGTAATAGATCTAAAATAATGTGATTGATGTTCCAGATTCACTTAAGACTTTCAATCATACAACAACAAACTAAATTGATGAAAAAAAAAATTTATCTATTTTCTCAATAACAAATACATTTTTGTGACAAAAGTGAGAATGAATAATCTACTACTCATCGTTAAAACACAAACATATGTGGATATCTAATTTAATATGAATAGTGGTGTCATTCATAGAGAT